TTGTAAGAAATAACCATTTTTAATAAAAGTATTTTAAAAATAATTATTAAAATAAATTTAATTATTTTTAACCATTTTTAGTTATAATTGGATAAAAATACTCTTAAAACTATTTCAAATAAATTAAATTATTTATCACAATTTCTCTCCATTTGTACTTTTGATTTCTCTCTCTTATCATCCAGCTCTTTCTAATTTTATCAATTTCTTTTTTCGGTATTTGTTTGCTATATTTTTTATTTCTTTCTCGTACTTTTAAGACGATAAACGATGGTTTTAATATGCTTAAGATGGGTGGTTATTTAAAAATTTTGATTTTGAAGTATTTTGCATAAAACTAAAATGATAGAAATGATAACAAATGTTTGAAATAGCTTTTAGTTGGATCAATTTGAAACCTAGACACCAATAAACTCAAAATTTTAAAATTTATACACTTAGATTTTCAAAGAAATTTTTTTAATTTTTAGTCGAAATAGGTGTTTTAGATAAGAAAATTTATATTTTAATATATGAAAACATGTTGGAAACACTTTAATCAATACCAAATTATCAAAAAAAAAATGAAGAGAGTTGAGAGGATTTGAAGTTTTGGTTTATAAGTAGCAACAACATTTTAGGCAATAAAGTGTAATAAATTTTTTTTAAATGTAGTATGTAACAATAATATTTTTTCAACATGACGTATAACGACAACATATTTTTCAACATGACGTGTAACATGTTTTCGTACATAACATATAACAATTATACTTTTTTTTTTAACATGACGTGTAACAACTGTTTTAACCATGAAGTATAACAACTTTTTTTAATTATGATGTGTAGCATATTTTTGTACATGGCATGTAACAATAATATTTTTTTTCAATACTGTGTGTAACAACATTTTTTAGCCATGACGTGTAATATATTTTTGTAAATGAAGTGTAACAATACTATTTTTTTTAATATGACGTGTAATAACTTTTTTAACCATGGCATTAAACATATTTTTGTACATGACGTGTAACAATAATATTTTTCAACATGATGTGTAACATTATGGTATGTAACATCATTAAGGGTAATTTTATCTAACTTAATTAAAACCAGTTAAAATTATGAAAAAGATTATTTTTAAAAACATCATCTTTTAAGGGGTATTTTTTAAAATGCCATTAGAAAATTAATTAAAACAAACCTAAAATACGTCTAATATTAACTACTTAATAAATATTTTAAGTAACTTATAATTAAATTTAAAATATGATAAAAATTAACATTCATTTAAAATAATAATACTTAATTGTTGAAATATTTTTCACCTGATTATTCAAAATTTATGTTTAAAATTATTATCAATAATATTTTTATAATAAATAAAGAAAAGATATTTGTTATGGATAAGAAAAGTTTTAATTAAGTATATATAGATGCGAAATTAAGTTGAAAAATTATCTTAATGAAATTATTAATTAATATGTTAAACTTGCAACCACGTTGAGAAAAGTAATCTTAATGTTGCTTTTGTTATGAATTACTAATATATGGTCATGTTTCTCACTCTTGCTCTCCCTTCACCCTTTCTGGCTATTAGACAATGGCTATAACTCTTTTTGAGTCTGACTAATGTTAATATTTTGTAGTTTGTATAGTATTTTGACTTCAACTGGCTTTTTTGTATACCAAGCTTCAGGAAGGGCACCTTGGCCAAGTTTCCCTTAGCCAAGTCGTCTCATTTTTTGTGTTCATAGGGGATTTCACCCTGCTTTAACGCAAATGACTTTAATCTTTGAAAAAAAAAAAGGTAAGGAAGGAATATTGAATTTGCACAGGTTCCGCCAGGCGAAGAATTGATTCCCAGTGGTCGAATGGTTCTTTCTTTCTTAGGCAGGAGATCCATTGATCCCATAACTGAAGAAAGCTGCTAGCAATGGGAGCTGTTAGCCCAAGCAATAATGAGCCTGGTCACAGAGGTATACACGAAATTTCTCATCATTGTTGATTTATCTTTTCCCCTTAAAGAAAAGAATCACGTGAAGGATTGGATTAGAATCAATCCTTGAAAATGGAATGAGCTATCCAGGCTGACAAACTAACTAACAACTGAACCTTCTAGGGTCTGATTGAAGAGAAAAAAGTTGATTCTTTCAATACCGCTTTCCACGCTCCCTATGCTGAGGAAATTGAGGTGGGGATACAGAAGGAGGGTCTTTTTTAATAGATCGCCTTGAAGGTTTTGAAATCTCCTAGGATGGAGGTGCTGTTAGTGACGTCTATACCGCACAGCAACCGGCAAAAGTGCTCAAAGCCGTGGTGGAATCGATGTTGGAATCTCACTTGGGAATTGGACAAGATATAATGGATGATTTTTTTAGCATGTATGCAGAGATTGTTGGGAATCACATGTCAAAGACTAGAACCAAGTACTTCAATTAGGTGATTTCCCTGATTAGAAAGGGGTAATCATATCCAATTGAAAGAACATCTTAACCAAAAAGTCTGAAATTTTTGAATGTCTGTTTACATAGGGAGTACTATAAAATCCAAAGGAAATAGCTTTGGGCATTCAAAGGCTATTGTAATAGTCTGGGATAGATGGCAATGTATTGTTTCTTCCCGGAGAAGTAATGTTCATGATGTTAATTATTCCAAGTTTAACGACCAATCAGGGCATTTGAAATTTTGAACACAA